TATAGTCTATTAAGCAATCAGATCGGGTCAAACACATTTAAATATTTTGACCCACCGGGTCGAAGCGGGCCAGCCGGTCCATTTGAGAGCTATATTTGTGACACATGAAACCTTTGAAATTTTCCTCCATTTCAATCATCTAACTTGAATTCGATGATTTATATTCCTTTTCTCCATTGTTTTGTTTTACAAACTCAACATATATAAAATGCGTGACTTATGAGATGAGATAGTCTTTTATTACTATTAGGTTTGAAATACTTCTTATTTTATTAAATTTATATTCTATATATTTTGTCTTACTTCTGCTTAGATAGAAACTATACGTTTCTAATGTTCGTCTCAAGTCTCTAATCTCTCATTTAAATTCTTCTTTGACTCTATTGCAATGGAGACGAAATATTCAAGTTGCAAAATGACTTACTTTAGACAATGTATTCACTTACCTCATCTGCAAGATGAGAGTCCACTTTTGAACATGCTGAACCATTATTGCATTTGAAGTATTGCATTCTTGAAGGGTCTTGTTTGGTTCTTCGTCTGCTTCACAATCCTTATTAGGTCTAATGACCTATAGGTGGATATGAATAAAGTCCATCCTCAATAAGAGGTCCAAATAAATCCACTTCTAGCGTAAGATTCTCAAAGAAAGAAAATGGAGTTAGGAAGAAAGTATTTTCAATGATAAGAAAAACAATGTTTTAACGTGCGACCGCAATTTAAAACTATGTATAGATTATCATCTGTGTATGTATTGTGGATGTTGTTTTTGAGAAGATGAAAATGTGTTACAGTAATGCATGCAGTAGTTGGAGTGTCACTTTGATCAGAAAGGAACTAAATAACTCTCCCTACTAAGCTTGCTTGATTCAAACTCATTTCTCTGACTAAAAATGGAGACACAAAAATTAGTTGGCAAGGTTCAATGAAGTAAGAGTGTTACCTAATATGATCAAGATGTGTTCACATAAAGACTATAATATCATATAAGGTCAAGTCTTATGTATTATTAACCGCATAAATACTAGTTATTATTGAAGAATAAAAGTTAAAAGACGTGTTTAAGAAGTCTAATTCCACCGTCTACTCGAGAGGACCATTTAAAGTTAGGGCATATTTAGAACTGAATCATCATTGAAATTGTTAGTATCTAACGAGATTCAAATATGAGATTTTGAAAGGAGTAACTCTCAGGACCCAAGCCTTCACCAACAGGCTAATCCCTGAAACTAGAAACGAGCTCAGATCTAAAGTTCGAGCTTTATGATTGGAGAAATTGTGATTGAGATCAAAGACTATAAAAATATTCATTTTGATCGACCGAATTTCTCAACGAAGATTAGTCATTAGTAAGCATTCAAACACTACATTTGAAGTGTTATGTTTACTCTTGTGTTGTATCTCCAAACTCCATCTTATTTTAGTCAATTGCTGTTGCTTTAAGAAATGAAAATTTCAAAGATAAAACATCAAATATGTCAGAGTGATAGAAGTATATAAATTTGCATGTACCTAACAACTATTAGGTAAGCCATCACTTGAATTTCAAAGAGGATTTCCATGGTTATAATATTGGACTGAAGATTACTACAATCTTATTCAAATAAGGTTGCTAAACCTTGCAGCAGATTATCATAATTTGATAACATCATCACATATTCAAGAAATGAGGCTTCTTATATCAGCTCTATGTGTCACTGTGCTATGTTCTTATGCAGGTATTCGTTATCATTTTCTTGGTTTTTTCATTTTCACATTCGTATTCAACTGATTTCTTGAATGCGTTTTGTTTGTAGCGGCGTATGATCCTTTGGATCCTGACGGAAACATTACGATCAAATGGGATGTTGTGTCGTGGACACCAGATGGCTATGTGGTCAGTACAAACTTCATCCTTATTTGCTTTATACAAGTATTGAGAACCTGAGCAACGTACGATAATGAATTCGTGATAAAATAGATATTAGCTATTACGAATGCATTGTAATATCTGTTAGAGATATTGTCAGTTAAGGTATCACTGTTGACGCTTGTGCCAGATGACATGTTAATTTTGTTATAACAGTTATAACAGAAACTAACATGTCATCTGACACAAGCGTCAAGATGTCATCTGACACAAGCGCCAGCTGCCATGCCTTAACTGATAGTATATCTAATATTTTATATAGAGTGACATATCTCATTTTACAAGTCGGTTTTGTAAGGTTGTATTAGATTTAACACACAATTCTTAACAATATCAACTCGTGAACTCTCCATCAATGATTCATATAACTTACTTGATTGTATGCATTTCATTTTCAACCAGGCAGTGGTAACGATGAGCAATTTCCAAATGTATCGACACATAATGAATCCGGGCTGGACATTAGGATGGTCATGGGCTAAGAAAGAAGTTATATGGTCAATGGTAGGATCTCAAACAACCGAGCAAGGAGATTGTTCTAAATTCAAAGGCAATGTACCTCACTGCTGCAAGAAAACTCCAACAGTTGTAGACCTTCTCCCTGGTGTCCCTTACAATCTACAATTCTCAAACTGTTGCAAGGGTGGAGTTGTAGCAGCATGGGGACAAGACCCTTCATCAGCTGTTTCATCTTTTCAAATCAGTGTTGGACAAGGTGGTACTTCAAACAAGACAGTTAAACTTCCTAAGAACTTCACTCTCTCGGCTCCCGGACCTGGCTATACTTGCGGTCCTGCTAAGGTTGTTCCTTCCACCACTTTTCTCACCTCGGATAAGCGCCGCAAAACTCAAGCACTTAGTAAGTTCCATATCTACATATACAAAATACATCTTGTGGTCAATTCTCAGGTGTTGTCCTGTTGACTTGTTGATGAAGGCTTGAGTCTTGAGAGCATGTTCCTCTCAATGTCTCAAGATTATGATATTAAACTATTATCGAAGTTTAATATTTTTCTTTTCTACTTCATGCAGTGACATGGAATGTAACATGTACTTACTCACAATTTCTTGCAAGAAAGAACCCAAGTTGCTGTGTTTCTTTGTCATCTTTCTATAATGAGACTATTACTCCTTGTCCTTCTTGTGCTTGTGGATGCCAGAACAAGAAGAATTGTGTCAAGTACAGTGTGGACTTTCAAACAATTAATGATTTTTCATTTCTAAACAATGTTTTAAAAGTCAGGCCTAATTAGCTGGTTCAAGTTCAACTGATTAAACCGATATCATGTTAGCTTTCTGATTGATTTTCTGATTCGATTTAACCAGTTAAACTAACTGAACTAAACTATGATTTGGAAATTCAACCGGTTCTATTTTTAAAACATTGTTTTGAAAATTGTAACAACTAGAAAAACTAATTATTTTCTCAAATGTTGGGTATGGTATGCAGGGGTCATTCCAAATTCCTGGACATGGTAGGGTTACATACACCAAAGAGAGACAATGAACCATTGCTACAATGCACTCATCATATGTGCCCTATCAGGGTACACTGGCATGTGAAGGTTAACTATAAGGACTATTGGAGAGTCAAGATAGCTGTTACAAACTTCAATTATAGATTGAATTATTCTCTTTGGACTCTTGCTGTTCAGCATCCAAATCTTAACAATGTCACCCAAGTTTTCAGCTTTGATTACAAGCCTTTGCTTCCCTATCAATCCATAAGTAAGTTTTAGCAAATAGATCTAATAAGAATTTCACATTATAATATATACTTGAACATGTGCTTAGATAATATATCTTAAACATATAAGTGAAGACAATCTTCACCCTACAAGACGGTTTTTAAAAGATGAGTTAGATTCAACCACAATTCTTAACATGATATTAGAGTCAGATTTAAAATCCGTTGAAAAGGAGTGTGTTAAGAGTCTCACATCGGATAATATATAACTTAAATATATGCTTATAAGTGAGAGCAGTCTTAACTCTACAAACCTATTTTGTAGGAATGAGTTAGACAAAAATCACAATTCTTGACAAAATCACAATTCTTAACAAAATCATGAAGTTGGAACAGCTTATTGAGAATCATTTTGAATTTATTGCATGATATAACCACTTATGAATGTTTTTACATGTTAATAACATCATGAAAGACTGGTTTAGTGTGTTTTCCATTATGTATACAGATGACACAGGTATGTTCTATGGCATGAAATTCTTCAATGATCTCTTGATGGAAGCTGGACCAAGTGGAAATGTTCAATCAGAAGTGCTTCTTCAAAAGAACAAAGAAACATTCACTTTCAACCAAGGATGGGCATTTCCTAGAAGAGTTTACTTCAATGGTGAAGAATGCATGATGCCACCACCAGATACCTACCCTTACCTCCCTAATTCTTCCCCTTTGAATTCCCTCAACTTCCAAGCATTCATTACCTCATTCCTTCTCTTGCTAGCTCTTTGGTGAATTGGTACATAAACATGTTTGCACTGTCATGTGAAATTTTGAAGCCAAGTATTGTTATCCTCAAAATACGCGACAACCCTCAAGGCTTTCTTGTAAAACAAGCAAGACTCATGAATGTGGTGTGTTATTCATGATCACTAGTAATAGGATGATAAGTATAACTCTCATCCATGATTTTTGTTTTATGTAAATACTTGTATTGCAATATTGTAATGAATCCAATGAATCCCTCTTTTGTCTGCTTAATGCTTAATACAAATTCTATAGCACCGACACTTTTGAAAAAAGATACGTCAATGTCGTTTCCATTGTCCGTGCTTCATAGAATACAATGCTAAAAATGATCATAAGCTCTTTCAAACAGTCTCACAAGCTCAAAGACAATCTAAACAGACACAATAATGATTCCAAGCATGATAAGGAAAAACATGATTCCAGTTAGAAAAATCATTAGCATTACAAATCCACACAAGATTCATCAAGTTATTATTTTCATGTAATGTTGTTGTATACATTTGTTATAATTACAATGAGGATACATGTAACATTGCATCACAGAAATCGGGATCGAAAATTTTCTATTGCAATGATAAAGTATAACAAGAGGTTTGAATCTTAAATGTATGTGTAAAATACAAGGACTACTAAGGAGGTCATCAATAAAGCAAACATCGAAACCTCTTGTCGAGAACCAGCATTCGGTAACCATGGATAAGCATCGGGTGATGGCATCACACAGTTGTCGCCGTTGAAGTAGATTCTGTGAGGGAAAGCCCAACCCTTGTCGAAAGTGAAAGTCGATTTATCCTTTCGGAAGAGTAACTCCGATTGAACATTGCCACTAGGGCCGGCTTGATTAAGAAAATCATTATAGAACTTAACTCCCCAAAGCATTGCTGTATCATCTGTTAAAAGCAACTCATATCGGTAATTATGATCAAAAAAAGAGAAACAATTACGTTCAAGACAACTTTCGCAACAACTTTTTAAGTGGTTATCGCGGATTAAACATGAAACAAATAAGTTAGAAAAATACTTACTTATTGAACCATAAGGATTTAATGACTTGTAGTTGAAACTGAACAGCTGAGTAATATTTTCGAAGTTCGGATGTTGAACAACCAAGTTCCAATCGGAATAATTCATACGGTAATTAAAATTCGTAATAGTAACTTTCACTCGCCAGTACTCCTTGTAGTTAACTTTAACATGCCAGTGGATTCGGATCGGACACATATGACTAGTACATTGAACCAAAGGCGATAAATTATTCTTTCCGTTACCAGAAACAACCGATGCCAAATGCGGCGTATTTGGACTGTAACCACAAAGAAAATCAATATATGAGTGTACAAATAAAAATAAGAAGGAGAACACCGTAGCCCGAGTAAGAGAAACGTACTTTACACAGCTCCCCGACTGAGACGCATTAGTCTGGCAGCCACATGCACATGTTGGGCACGGTACGATGGTTTCGTTATAGAAAGACGAGAGCGATACACAGCAAGTGGGAGTTTTCTGAGCTAGAAATTGCGAATATGTGCATGTAACATTCCATGTCACTGCGAAGAATCAAAACAATGGTAAGAGGAAATTTAGATAAACATATTGAAAACGGAGAAACATGCGTAAAAGTTGATTTACTTACTGAGTGCTTGGGTCGTTCTTCTTTTGTCGGGTTGAATAAACTGAGTAGGTCTAACGACTTTTGCCGGGCCACAAGTATAACCCGGTCCGGGTGCTTTCAGAGTGAAGTTTTTTGGGACTTTAACGGTTTTATTCGTTGTTCCAGCTCTACCGACACTCACTTGAAACGACGCAACTGCGTTGGTAGGATCCTGAGCATATGAACTAAGCACCCCACCTCTGCAGCAATTCGCGATTTGCTGATTGTAAGGTGTTCCGGGAAGTAGATCAACGACGGTTGGATCCTTTTTACAGCAATGTGGTACGTTTCCTTTGAATTTTGAACAATCACCTTGTTCGGTGGTCTGCGATCCCACCATGGCCCAGATTACCTCCTTTCTGGCCCATGTCCATCCTAGTGACCAGCCAGGCGCGGCGATGTGACGATATTGTTGGAAGTTGTTCATCGTAACAACGGCCTGCATAATCAATTGTTTCAAATAAGCTAGTTTCATAACATTTATAACAAAAACAAAACAAAATCTAACTGGTTTCATAAACTATCATGAAGAGCTTATAGAAATAAGCTGAAATCAGCTAACGGACGTATCATAAGTTGTTTTCACACGCTCTCACAAACAATCTTACAAGTACTAATATCAATAGATAAGCTCGAATAAGTCTGTTCAAAAAAACACTTATTCAAGTAAAAGTATCAAAATGAAATACCAAAAAAGTGATTTTGTTAAAGAATACACTTACAACATAACCATCTGGTGTCCAATTTATAATATCCCATTTGATGGTGATATTCCCATTTGGGTCAAGTGGATCATAAGCATCTGAAAAAGTTAAAACCAACAACAACAACAACAACAAGTATATCAATTAATGATCAAAGAATGCAAACAAAGAAACAATTACATTGATCAACTCAATTAATCAATGGCTGTTTTATGAAATCATAATTTTCCATTTTTCATATCTCTATACTCATAATCACAACCTAAACTAATTTTCCCTTATTATTGGATTTTTTAAGCACAAACCTCATAAACAATTATAATTTCAATTTTGGTCATGATTTGGATAAACAATTTAACTTGTGTTACGTTCTACAATGAAAAAGTTGATTTTGACTGAATTGATTCTGTAAAATTGATTTTAGCTAAAGTTGAGTTGAAGGTAAAATGATTAATATTTAAATAATTTTTTGCAAAATTGAGTTAAAAAGTAAATTTTAATGTAAAATTCACGTTTAGATTTAAAAACTACAAATCCGAACTTCAAGTAGAACTAAGTCCGAAACTACAAATCCGAACTTCAAGTAGAACTAATTCTGAAAAACACAGTCAATTCTCCTCGAGAGCAAGCAAACGTGTCAAAATCAATTTTACACATCCAAAACCAATTCCGAATGCTACAAACATAAAACGAAACATACACTAGACACAAAAATAAAGTCAAATAGTTTTCTATAAGCTATAAGCTTTTTTTCATAAACTACAAAAACAACTTATGAACATGTCCATAAGCTATTTCTATAAGCACTTATAAAAAAACATCACAAGTGCTTATATTAGTAGTAAATAACCTCAAATAAACCAATATAAACATCCTTAAAACGCATTCCAAACACCAAAAATAGAAAAATATCACATACATAGTACTACCTACAATCCACTTTACCAAACCAAACCAAACCAAACCAAACCAAACCAAACCAAAAGCTAAAACAAAAAGTACACGATTAATTTTGTTTCATATGCAAATTTCATACAAAGTAACAACAAATAATCATCGTCAACAAAAAAAAAAGTTGTGAAGAAAAACGAAAAAAGTGAACCTGTTGAAGTGAAACAAGTGCAAGAGAGTAGGAACAAGAACAAAACTATACAAGGTGTTGTTGGTTTTGAGAACAAAGAGAAACCCATTTTTTTTGTTGGTTGAAAAATGTACGTGGGGATTATGGGGTTTATAGGAGAAGAGGTTAAAGCTTAAGATCTGTGGAAGAGACGAGAAGACTCGGAATAAAGAAAAAGAAGAGAGAGAAAGTGATGAGAGAGAGAGAGAGAGTTGTGGAAAATAATAATAAGGGATAGCAGAAATACTGACTGTGTTGTTGTGTTTACCAGTTGGATCCTCTCTGGTTAAGAAAGGTATAGTTTGGTTAGTCAAATGACCATGTTTTTTTCTCTCTCAATTTTTATATATCTTTTAGGGGAATGTTCTCTTCATTTTTAATGTGTCTTGTCTTTGATACGTATTTTAACGCATTTAAAATCACACAAATTTTTATTTTTTTTATATTTACTTAATTTTGAAGAAATATTTATCTGAAAATACAACTTCGTATGTTATTTGAATATATTTAAAGATGGTTATACAAAATATTTTTTTATATTTGATTTATTTATTTTTATTCGTTAAATTTGATATTTTTGAGGCACGTATTTTAGGTCATTTTAAATTATAAATTAGAAGAAAAGCATATATATTAATTAATTTAAATATAATATATAATTATAAAAAAAATCATACAATTATTAAAATATATCAACTATATATAAAATAATACAATCAAACAAAAATCTATTGAATATGTTTAACCTACTGGATCTTAAAATTTAAAAAAACTTAATTGAAATTTTGATTTTTCTATTCTTATCTGTTTATAAAATTGATTGTTGTAATTAAAAAATAATAATTTTATTTATTTTTTATATTTTAAAATTAAAAATGATGATGTGATGTGTTTTAAATAATGTGATACAAGATATCATAATATAAAATTATATATAGACAAATTATTTATGTATCATTAATTAAATTATAACAAAAAATTATGAGATTAAATCTAAAAGCTATAAGATTTTATTTGCAGTTTAATACATTTTAGATTAAATTGTATAGCAATTTATCTAAAACATCTCAACTCACCATTTTAAAATTTTGATCCTTCCGAAAATGAATCGTTTATAAGAATGTGATTTCACCATTTTTTAAGTTTTGATTTTTTTTAGAAAGAAGTCATTTATATGAATGTGAAGTTGGTCTGAATCTTGTGAATTTTTGGAAAGTAATAGTAACACTTTAAATATGGCCCAACATTAGAGGGATGTACCTCCAAACACTCAAATACTAAAGTTAATGAATATTTGAGGTAAAAAAAATATTTTAGGGTGGAAAAAGATTTTACTTTAGTTTGATATTTATAATCTCCTTTATAGATGAATTCTAGGATTTTTAGGGAATAGAATCATATTGTGCAATATAGTTGTTCAAAGGGATATATGTTAGAGTATCATCTATTCTGTCATCTAACGAGCCTTCTTCAATCATTTTTCTAAATCAAGTATTTTTGTAGGATATGTTCACATATATTTCCGAACTTTCTTTGGGTTCATAGATGATGGAATGATGCTTTAGTATGACGTCATGATCATCATCCCACCTTTTGATTAAACGGTCATTTGGCCTCTACTATAATTTGTAGGTTTGATATGTCACCATAGGATAGTTGTCTATTGGGCCACTAGGTACTCATTTGGCCTAAGAGGGAACAATTTCTCCTAAGCCAAGTTCGACATATCGGGGGCGTAACTTGTGATCTTAGATCGTCTTTTCTTACTTGGTCTTGGCAAACCAGCTTGATCGTTTAATCTTCATATTTTCCTTATTCTTGGTCAGGATTCGAAAAGACGCCTATTTGTCTTTCCCGTATGATGCCAACCTATTCTTTCAACTAGTATGGATGTTATAAATACGTGCCCTCCTCAACTTCACTAAATGTTAAGTAGTCTTCAAGCCTTGTCAGACCTTGGACCTTGTTAAGTTGTTATGTGGAGACCTTTGTGTTGGTTGCGGCCATTTTGGGTTATTTCTTTCTCTATTCTTGGTGTTTTGTTTGATATAATGTATCCTTTAAGCTTATCCTTGGGGATTCTAGCTATGTGACATAATTATTGTGAATGCATTTGCCTCTTAAATAGATGTTTTGTATGATGCCAAAACTAGAATAGATTTAGCTTTTTTGTATATTCAATGGTACCTCTGAGCCATTGTGTGCACTCTTGCATTAGGGATCTTAGAATGCATCTAGAACATGTTTGAAATGGTTGTCAAAAGATATCATTCATCAAAAATAGTTTTACGCATTAAAACCAGTTGGGTGTGTCGACACATCCATACTATGCGTCGATATATATGGTTCAATAATAAAGCATGTAGGCTTTGTAAATATGTGTCGACAAAATATTCTCATATAGGTCGACACATATCATTGGAAATCAATTTCTGCATAAAATTCAATTGCATGTGTCGACACATCCATGTTATACGTTGACACATGTGATGTTGTTTTAAAGCCTAAAAGTCTCTGAAATTGTGTGTTGACACAAAGACCTCATACAGGTCGACACATGTCATGACATGTGTCGATACATAACTTACATGTGTCGACACATTGTCATACCCCAAATTTGTCCTACCTTTATATTATATTTAGGGTTCTTTTTAAAATAAATCATATTGTAGGTTTTATTTATGTGGGGTGTTTAAAGTCAAAGGAGGCATATTGGTGTAAAATGGACCATCAATATCTGAGGGCCCATTAGGTTTTAAAGGCCGTTTCAAGTTTAAAAGAGAGGTGTATTGTTTTAACCAATGAGGAGTGAGAAAAACGTTCTTATTTAAAGCCCATTAAAATTTCATTTTTTTAGGTTGTTTAAAGTAATATGTTTTTGTTCAAGGCCCAATAAATTAAAACAATGGCCCATTTTTGAAATTGTTGTGAAAAAAGAATATTTTGTTTTATTATTATCAACATTACCATTATCCTTATTAATAATATTGATTCTTATTATAGCTATTAAGTATTACACTTTAAATTTAATTTAAAATGATTTTTGTTCTTGATGAAGATGTTTTTTTGTATTATGATCCATTTCCAAGGCCCAATAATAAGATTGTGTAAGCCTATTTAGGTTTTTTTTATCAAGACTGAAAGAATGTGTAAAGAAGTCAATTGTTTTTTAGGCCCAACAAGGGAGGCCGTTCAGTTTTTGTTTTGTCTTAAGGAGTACATTATTAAAATTATTATTATTACTATTAGTCAAATAAGTTTGTTTCTTTATATTTTTGATTAAATGGGCCAAATTGAGAACTTGATCACACACCATCACGGGCCCAAACCCAAATCAAACCATTTGACCCAAAGCCAACAACACTCAACCCAAAGAACTTGCAAGCCCAATTGGAGAAAACATGTATTTGTTTAGATGTTCTAAACAACTAATGTTTGAATAAAAAACAAATCAGCGGGAAATCAAGCAATAAATCCTTGCGTTAAATATTTTCCAAAACAAGGTCAACTCAAAAACAGAAATATAAATCAGAGATTTAATACAAATATAAAATCAGAAACATAATCAACACTAAACACAAAAACATTTTGAAATGTATACATAATTACAAACACACTAAATCATTGCCTAAATCATCTAAAGCTAAGATTGTTATAAAAAACTAAAATTACAGTAAGACAAGAAAAGGAAAAAATGACAATAGAAGGAGGGAGAGGATTGTAGTAAGGAATGTTTACAATACAGAGGGAATTATAGAACAAAACAAATATATATATATATATATATATATATATATATATATATATATATATATATATATATATATATATATATATATATATATATATATATATATATATATATATATATATATATATATATATATATATATATATATATATATATATATATATATATATATATAGGAAGAATAAAGCCTTCACTACCATCCTTGTTTGTTGTCGCCTAGGGTTCCAACACCTGGAACCTTAAATCGCAATCATTGGCCACCGCTACCACTCGCTGCTCCACTGTGCCGCCTCTCATTCATCATCACCTTCGTGCCTGCGAAACGAATGAAGATGTAAGGCTAGCAAGAATCAAAATAGAACCGCAAAAAAGAGTATGACGAGGAATTTATTTGCTTAGCTCAAAGTCATTCTGTTGTTGTTTGATTTGGGGGGGTTGGGTTTTATGGGTTTCATTGTTGTAGCATCGGAGAAGAAGGGGGAGGGTTAGCGCCGCTTCGGTGTATCTTAGGGCTAGGGTGTTGGTGTGTTTAGAGAGAAGAGAGAAGACAATGCAAGGAGAGAGAGAGAGAGAGAGAGAGAGAGGAACATAACAATTGAAATGTTTGTTTTATAATAAAGATATAATGTGTTTAATAATTCAATACGTGTTACCCCATGCTCGATACCATACTCCCTCGTCCATCAACACACGATCCCCGTCCCATGTTCCAAAACGCGCCCCCATGGTAACTATCATGTGACCATGCACACGTGAACCATACAGGCCTTTCAAATCCTTGCGTTGGGCCTGGCCCATTGTCTATCCGTGCCCTCCTTTTAATTTTTTTTACTAACAAGCATGTTTTCACACCCCCTTGGCCATTGGGCCTGAATTCAAAAATCTGAATTCAAAACCCTCCTATTAACACCCCCTATTTTGCTAACTTAGAATAATTTGCACCCCCGCGAAATTAATTTTATTTCTTATATAATTTCATTTATATATTCATTTATATATGTTTATCTTTTTATAATTATAATATTATATTATTATTTGTTATTATAAATGATTTATTATTTTAAACTCATTTAAATTATAATATTGTTCATTTGTATTAAGTTATATCCTTTAATCACGCACTTAAAAATATTTTTCACAATATAAGTTAATTTAATATTTTACATCAAAATATTAAAACCCGCGCAATTCACCAAATCACTACGTCCGCAAGCGACACGTGGCCAATATCTGGTCACGTGATAAGGAGACTATATCAGACTCCCCCGTTCTGTGTCTTAAAACAACTAACCAATATCAAATCTTTTTTTACTGACATA